CATTTCCTTCTTTCTGTTTCTCTCTCTCTCTCTCTCTCTCTCTCTCTCTCTCTCTCTCCCCCTCCTTCCCTTTTACTATTTCATATTTTTCTAATGATTTCTATTCTTTAATTCTACAGAAGGGGAAAAAATGCACAAAGACCAAGAAAGCTAAGGCTCCACTGCGATACAGATACGCCGGCTGCACAAGCGTGAAGAAATACCGACCTAAATATTGTGGATCTTGCGTGGATAGCAGATGCTGCACCCCACAGCAGACAAGGACTGTCAAAATTAGATTCAGATGTGAAGACGGAGAAACCTTCATCAAGAACGTTATGATGATCCAGTCTTGTCGGTGCAACTACAACTGCCCGCACACCAACGAAGCCTACCCTTATTACAGATTATACAACGACATCCACAAATTCAGAGATTAAAAACCCCCCGAAAGGCAAAGCAACACATGGACACACTTGAGGAAAAAAAAAATGGGAATATACTGTTGTGAAGACATTGCAATGCCTTCTTTGGACACTGTGTGGCACTAGAGAACTAGAATGCATTACCACCTGGACTTCATTACAACAGGCTGAAAATATTTACAGCTTCATAATACTGGAGCAAACAAGTTGCTTCTTTTTTTGGAGCAATTTATATTAATATTATATTATTATTATTTTTTTTGTTTTGTTAGTAAATTATCTTCTTAAGTATTCTGGTCCCTTTAAGAAAAAAAACCGAGTTGTTTCCGCATAATTCTATTGAATGACCAAACTGGTAGACTCGGGAAAAGAGAAAGGTTAAGTTACATTCCTTCCTAATGGATTGCGCTTAATGAAGCGTTAATCTGTGGCAGCTATCACAATCCAACAGTTCTCCAGCAAAACAGAAGTTTAGATGAAATGTGTTTTTTATTTATCGAAAATGTAGCTTTTTTTTTTGTGACAAATGTAATACTGGAATAAATTGTAAATGATTTTAATTTTATATTCAATGAATTAAAGAATTTATTTATGGAATTAATCAGTTAATAAAAATATTTACCTATTTTTTAGATCGCTTTTCCTGTTTGTCTTTTCTTTTCTCCTTTTCATAGTATGCGTGCTTTGAAAAGAATGATACTTTTGTTAACCTTTTGTGTTCCAGCAGCCATGTTGAAACACAAAAACTAAAGGTGAAAGTTGCATGAGCTTTCATGGCTTTTACATTGACATACAAAGGCCTATTGTATTTCAAAAGGCAGTGCAGGGGTGTGCAATGTACAGTAGTCCCATAGTAGTGCATAGCAGCCAATAGGATTTTAGCTTTTTAGGGAAATAAGTAAAAGATGAATGCTGATTGGCTATTGCACATGTCTGATTTAAAGGTAAATCTGTATATGGAGGATGCCATTGCTGATCTCTCCTTTTGAACTTGCTAATTGTAATAATGATTCTCTATCTTCAATACTTTCTGAGTTTCTTACCTGGAATAAGTATGCAGATCAGGAGATTTGACTTCAGTTGGTGCATGCATGTTGTGGGTCAGTAACCGAAAATGTATCAACGCTAGAGACTGCAAATCGGCAATGGCAGCCAGCATGTGTTTCTCATGTGTTGCCATGCTATTTGATATTGAAATGATGGAGCAATAATATATAACAGTTTACTCCACCGTGAGAAGATATTAAACCGCTATAATGTAAGATTGTACGGGCCCCCCCCCCTTCCATATTTGTCCTATTCCCAATCCCAGTTTATATCTTGAATACACTTTCATACTTTTTGTTCTATTTACAGTATGGGTGCGCTTATGTGGCAGCCCGGTCATGCAGCCAATCAGATTTTAGTTATTATTTTTCAAGCCCTAATTAAAGTAATTAGGTTCCTTTTGAGCTTTTTGTATTCCCACACATGACAAAAGTCACATCTGCACTTATTTTTGTTTTAAAGCCTCATTTACACTGCTAAGAGCTGGCCCGTACAGATCCGTGCGGCGTGCATGGCCGTATCAGGCCGCTCCCGGGAAGGGCAGGTGCTGCGTGTGATTGTACGCAGCAGCCTGTTCTTCTCTATGGGAGTACGCGGGGGTACGCTCACCCGAACTGCACATCCATGTGGGTGTCCGTACTCATACGCAGACAGGATGGATCCTGTGTGCATCCGAGCACAGACACCAGCACCCGCACAGATGTGCAGTTCAGGTGAGCGGACGGCGACGTATGGCTATGTACTCCCATAGAGAAGAACAGGCTGCTGCGTACAATCACACGCAGCACCTGTCCTTCCCGGGAACGGCCCGATACGGCTGTACACGCCGCACGGATCTGTACGGGCCAACGTTTACCTGTGTGAATGAGGCTTTAAGTAAAGGTGTTTGTGGGACACCAGAACAAGAGTTGTAGTTAAATCTTCCAATAAGGACACTCGTTGCAGTCACAGCTATCTAAGACGGGCATTCACTCACTGTGCAGATATATCTTCCCACTTCCGGTAGTGTCTTCAGAACAGGAAGTGAAGGAAAATCTTCCCAATGGGACACAGGCAGCCAAACATAAACTGATAGGGGTTAACCTTTCTTTACCAAAATATCTTCTTACAGAAAAGAAACATTTAGGATTTACATAAAATGTAATTAGATTTTTTTTTAAATCTAATTATAGTAATTAAAAAAAGGGTGTCGCTGTTCATCAAACAAGTCAAGTTGTGTTTTTTTATATACCGCTACTATATATCCCATGAACTGGGCCAGTGAAAACCTCCATAACCCAATATCAATGAGACTTTATGGACTACAACTATGTCACATCTCCTTGGGATTCCTGCTGTGGGATACCCTCATCAAAATTGCTGGGGGAAGCCCACCATGTCACCGATTAGAATGGATAACACTTTTGTTTTCTGAATCCTTCATGTGATTAATTTTTTAGAAAACCCACCAGCACAGTTGCTATTATTACCCCAAAAATACTAGAGGAAACCTTCCTGTGAGAGTAGAAAATATTGGTGCGCTTCACATGGTGGCTTAAACTGTGTTTTACTCTCTGTCATGCGGGGCATCCCATGGAACATGGGGTGGGGGTTGGGGTCATAGGGGGGTTTGTAGAATAGAAGGGGGCAGTTGAGCAGAAAAACTTGGATTTTATGATGGCCATGCTGGGGACGTAGATGCAGAATGCAGAGGGATTAGTGCTGTAGAGTTCTGGAGGGGAAAAAAAAGCTGATACAATTAATCAGAAAACTGAATCATCATGTTTGTATAGACTTGACCTTTAAAGAGAACCAGTCACCAATGTATTTATAACTAGAAAATAAAAGTCTAACGATTACAGAATGTTAATATCGTACATGACGGTTACCCATGGGATGTATGTTTTAAAACATAGACTCCTTATGCAGTCCCATCTTCCTGTGTCTGTCAACACACATGGTGTCATTCTAAGCCTTAACACGCAGTCCCATCTTCTTCATCCCTTGCTTAGGTGAGGATGATGTATCCCTTGGTCCATCTTCCCCTACAACCACCCACAGCCTCCTGGGACACATGCCATGCATCTCAGGAGGCTTCAGGACAGTCTCTACTAGTTGGCAGATCTTGTGCATGTGCAGTACCGGGCCAGCTGTGAGTAATCAGGAAGTCACCACTAGCTTCTGAATCCATGATGGTGACACGGAACATCAAAAACCCTGGGAAGAATTACATGTGAGGAAGACAGTACTGGGCCTCATAGGCTGGTAAGTATGTGTTTCCTAAAAGTCAGCAGCTGCAGTACTTGTTGCTGCTGGCTTTCATCTTTTAATTAACTGGGTGAAGTTCCCCTTTAAGATCCAATGTGAACCCAGAAAAGCGGACAGCATGTGATTGTGACATCATGGGGGTCACAGAAGCACGGCAGCACCGGTGTGACCCCAGAAGTCAGGAAGATGAAGCTGCATAGAAGTGGATCAGTGCACTTGGCTTTACCCACAGCCCTTGGATAACCTTTGTGCACAAAATTAACATGTTGTATTAATTACAGTAAAACTAAAGTCAAACATTCAAGGAAAGAGTGGAGGATGTTTAAACCCCTGTAAGGTTTTTATTGTTGTCTGTGTCCTGTTGGGAAGATTTTCTCTCTCTACCTTTCCCAGTTACATCTGTCCCCAGGACAGGAAATGGAAGGAATTCTCTAGAGTGGGGGCAAGTACACTAATACAATCCTGATACATGTTATCATCCTGCCCTGCTGTTGTAACAAAGGGTTTAGCTGTTTGTTTCCCGGCTTTAGTGGTTTCCTCACTTCCTGTTCCAGTGACACAACAGGAAATTAGATATCTCTCTAATGCAGACATGGGGAGCAATAAAACTATGTGCAGAGTTTTTAACTTTTTCTCACTCTACCCAAACCAAACATTCGGCTGCATTTTTCAGTAGAAGTAATGAAGCTCTGTAATCACTAATACATCATTAAATGTATTTTGTAACATTTGCAAGCAGTGTAAGTCACTGAATTTGGTCTGTTTTAACCCTTTTGTAGACCCTGTATAGCAAAGCTGGAGTGTGAGAGGAAATAGCAGGACAAGGAGCCAGTCAGTTCATGTGCTGATGAGAAGCATGCTGATAGCAAGAGAAAGCAGAGTGACAGAGATATTAGCTGATCATTGTGCTGCATCTCATTTCACTGTCCAGGAGGCTCCGGGATAAACTGAGCTTAGTGGAAGAGGGTTGAATGATGCTGGCCATCAGAATGAGGACATCCAGTGGAAGCAAAAAGTACTTGCTATAGCAAAAGCTGATTTTGTTATTTTATCTTTTAATAGGTTATTCATTTTATCTTATTGTTCTTGGCTGTCCAAAATGTTGTGTTGTCATCAGGAAAGGAATACAGGGGAAATCTTTCTTACTTTCAAGAGATTTACTCTCCTGTTTTGTCTACAGGACAGGAAACAAAGATATTTTTTTCAAATGGGACACGATGACAAAAAAAAGAACATAGACAAGGGTTTTAACCATTTCCTATTCCAAAATGAAAAAAATGTTTTGTCTTTAGATATACACCGATCGGCCATACCATTATGACCACCCGCCTAATATCGAGTAGTTCCCCCTTTTTTTGCCGAATCAGCCCTGACCCATGGAGGCATGGACTCCACTAGACCTCTGAACGTATGCGGTGGTATCTGGTACCAAGCCGTCAGTAGCAGATTCTTTAGGTCCTGTATGTTGTGAGGTGATCGGCCTCCATGGATTGCTTTTCCAGGACATCCCACAGATGCTTGGTTGGATTGAGATCTGGAGAATTTGGAGGACAATTCAACACCTCAAACTCATTGTTGTGTTCCCCAAACCATTCTTGAACCATTTTTGCAGGGTGGCAGGGCACATTATCCTGCTGAAAGAGGCCTCTGCCATCAGGGGATACCTTTCCATGAAGGGGTATACTGTACTTGGTCAGCAACAAAATTAGGTCGGTGGTTTATGTCAAAGTAATATCCACATGAATGGCAGGACCCAAGGTTTCCCAGCAGAACATTGCCCAAAGTATCACGCTACCAGCTGGCTTTATTCCTGTAGTGCATCCTGGTGCCATTTCTTCCCCAGGTAAGTGACACATATGCACCCGGCCATCCACATGATGTAAAAGAAAACATGATTCATCAGACCAGGCCACCTTCTTTTATTGCTCTGTTCTCCAGTTCTGATGCTCACATGCCCATTGTAGGTGCTTTTGGTGGTAGACACGGGTCAGCATGGGCACCCTGACCAGTCTGTGACAATGCAACCCCATACGCAACAAACTGCGTTGTACTGTGTGTTCAGACAACTTTCTATTGGAACCAGCATGAACTTTTTCAGCAGTTTGAGATGCAGTAGCTCTTCTATTGCATTGGACTACATGGGCCAGCCTTCACTCCCCATGTGCCTCAATGAGCATTGCCCGCTCCTGAGAGCAGGCCCACTGGTGCTCTCCCAGCACTGTGACTGAGCCGCCATCAGCAAAGACAGTGTGACAGGATCCCAATCTTGT